GATGTTGGGCAATTAGAAAACATGTGCAAAAAGATGAGTATAGCAGAAATGAGAATGTTACGATGGTCCCGTGGGTATGCACTAAAAGATAGGATAAGAAATAAGTTATCAGTAGTAAATTAGATGTTGCTCCTATTGAGGATAAAATGAAAGAATCGACTAAGATGGTTTGGTCATGTACAACGGAGACCTCTTAGTGCACCGGTTAGAAAAAGTGATAGAATTATAGTTAATGGGGCTAGCAGATCTAAAAGTACATCTAAAAGAACTTGGTTGGAAACAGTTAAGAAGGATATGATAATGTTTAACTTAATGGATAAGATGTCCCATAATAAAATGGAATGAATTAATGTGATTCATGTAGTCGACCCCAAAATAAAGGCCTTGATGTTGTTATTGTTGTTGTAGAGCAAAGCATGTTATGAGTTCCTCTTTTTACAAAGGTTATATATACAATAACATCTTTAGAACAATTTGATTCATTCATTTATACCCAAACAGAAAAGGCAGAATTTCCCGGTGATATGTATTGGGCAACCACAAACACAGTTTTAGAGACATAAATAGGCAAGATGACAAAGTTTATGTATTGGGCAACCACAAACACAGTTTTAGAGACATAAATAGGCAAGATGACAAAGTTCACTATCACCTGAGGCAAGAGGTGTCAAAATAGATAATCATCTTTGTCAGGCAAAAATATATTCAAGAAAGATAAAGAAAATCTCCACAAATATGTCATGCAATACAGAACATTATTATACAATAATTTTTCTCAACTTCTAAATGGAAAAAAGCAAAATAAAATGCAAAGTCATAAAGCAAGAAAATAACACCATAGAAAAATATAACATATACATCTAAGGCACAGAGTATGGACAAAGTACTAGATAAATTAGCAAGTACCAATAAATAATCAAGTACTAATATAACATATTAAATACGACATCAATATATAAACACTAGAAATAGGAAATAGGTGTCTGAGTAAATGGATTAAGCAAATTATGAACGTATGAGGGTTTAATCTGTGCTCAAATCAAAACTAAAGCAATATAAATGGAAAACATTTGATATGGAATGTACAAAGAGGCAAAATTACACAAGATAAAACTAAAAAGAAGAGGGGGGCAAACAAAAAGAACTTAGCCCAACGAAATGGAAGCAAAACACTTCATTAAACTTTATAAGCCCCTTATTTAGATATAATCATATTGTAACAAAAGAATTGAGCTCAATTCAACTAGATTTAAACAGATTGTAGAAGAGTTTCTCTAGAGAAAATAATCCTGTTTCATGAAAGGCCGAGGGGATCAGCTTGCACAAGAATTCACCAAAGCATGTGAGTTATTCATATGCTTGTTTCGATTTAAAAATAAGACTTATTTCCTAATTCCTCAAACTTTATCTATTTCAAATGATACTAATTCTACTGTATATACAAATATTAATAATGAAATTTGGGAACTCATTTAAATGCAGATGAGCATAGAATTTAGTTCACATTTAAACAGGACAGCTAGAAACCTGTTTCAGTTCAGTAAATGTTCAGGATAGACATGCCAAATTTAATAAAATGAGGATTTTTAACTACCATTTCTGAATAGCACTCGAAGCAAAAGGTGTAAAATNCAGAAGCTTCTTCCTGAAAAGTTTTGGTCACGGTTAGGACAAGGCAAGTCTAAAACTTTGAAAGTATATAACTGGCACTGATTCATCTTGACCCTCAAATATAATGTACCGGTCGGTTAAATTTACAGAAAAAGGTATGCTTGTTTGAGTCACTGAATTTTCCAATATGTAACAAAAAAATCTAAAAGTAATTGAATTTTCGAACTACGCGCATGCTATGTGACATTGTGATGCACATGATTCATGAAATTTATGTTCCTCTATCATCATCATCAAAAAAAAAACTCCTCGAACCTAGAGATCGTTAGCGCGTGGGGGGGAAGATAAGAAATCACATGAATTCATCAAAGTTCAAGCGGAAGAATGATAAATTTCGTGAGATTAAAGTTATCAGCCTCCTCTCACACAAAAAGAAGAACAGAGTCAACGCGTAGAGGACAAGATTAGGGCTCAAGCTCCCCAAAATCAACACTAACGCCTACTTAAGGTCAGGAAAAAAAATTCAAGCCATACCCAACAATTATGAATCCATAACCTTGCAGCTATTCTAAACGTTCATAGAAAAATTTCCGGTGGTCAAGAAAAGCCTAACCCTAGTTCTACCCCTAATTTAATTTAGCTGTTACAATTAAACTAAACAAAATTAAGTGCAAAGGTAAAGAAAGCTTACTGGGATTTGTTGAGGGATCGAGGTTTTTCACAGAGAACAAAAAAACCCTAAAAATTGGGAACGAAGCGATGAAAATCGAAACAAAATTGAGAGGGCTTTTGGATGTGGGGCGCAAAGGAAAAGAAAGCATGTTGGGTCATGGATCCAGTGTCGTGGGCCTTTGTAGCCCATTTCTTTCATGTATGCACCCAATTAGCGTGTACAATAAGCTATTTTATTATTACTAATATTTTAATAATAAAGTTATGGAGAATTTTTAAAAAATATCATTTTTAAAAAGTAATTAGCTAAAAGGATCTTTTTTCTAAATAATTAGAAATTTTGACCTTTTTTGTCAGCTCACTAAGGCTGACCAAAAAGAGATCGATCTTACAAAATTAGTGTTGAAAACACACGAGACTACTAGTCCCGATTGAACTAACGTGACCAAAGTAAAGCTCATTGGGCTAAGTATTATTACTCATTCTCTCTCTTCACTCTCACTCACTTTCCTCTCGCACGCATTAGTCCAATGGCAGCTACCCTCAGCTCATCTTCTTCAATGCTAACTCCAACTTCGCCGCATCCAGAGGCGGCACCGTCGCAATCTCCCCCAATGCCAACCTCACCTTCAACGTCTCCGATTTGATCCCTTCGTCACCGCCTCCATCTCCTCCACCGCTGATGCTGTCGAGATGTGGAGTCATCGATGAGAACGGGACAAAGAGGATGGACTTCGATGTAGGAGAGTTTGATTCGGATCTGGAGGATAACAGCGGCGACGACGACGGCAGTGGTGGCGTGCAAGTGAGGAGAGTGGTGGGGTGCTAGGGTTAGGGTTAGGGTTGGGAAGTTTAGGGTTTTGTGATGAGGGGATGAGGGAGTATATATCATGCTTCGATAATGTGGCGGCCAGCAAGAGGGTGAGGTTGACGGAGAGAGGGGAGAGATTCGGTAATCCGTTTCTATGCAGAAAACACACGGGATTACAAGTCCCATGTGTTTTTTTGGTAGTGTTTAGGAGGTGATTGGTGAACACTAACACATGGGACTAGTAATCCCGTATGTTTTCAACATTAAATTTTGCAAAATCGACCTCTTTTTGGCCAGCTTTGGTGAGCTGGCAAAAAAGATGTTGATTTTGCTAATTATTTAGCAAAAATATTATTTTTGCTAATTATTTTTTAAAAACGTTCTTTTTTTTTTAAAATCTCCTAAATTTACCTTGGTAGTGTGTTTTTTGTTTGGGTGGGGGGGGGGGGGGGGGGTTAGTCACCTAGAACTTAAAATTGGAACTGAGATAATCTGTGGAATAAAATTTTAAGGTGTTAGTCACATAGAACTAAAACTAGAATAAAATTTTACAGTGTTAGTCAAGTAAAACTCTAACAAAACTAGAATTGGGATAATGATACGGAGTTATCCTACTTTTTTTAATTTTTCTATATAAAAATGAGAGTTCTAGTCTCTCAAATTATTCCAAGTTTTAGCTTGGAACTATGTGGTAAAAAACTAGAACTCATATTTATTTTGTTATTTTTATATATATTTTTTTCTTTACTTCTTTCCTATTATGATTATCACCATCATTAGACCATCATTATAATAATAATAATTGTCAATATCTTATAGTCTAATCAAAAATTATTTAATAGTAAAGGACATTCTTGTAAGCAATTATCAATCAATAATAGTAAGTTTAAAATACATAAAGTTATTTAATAGTAAAGGACATTCTTGTAAGCAATTATCAATCAATAATAGTAAGTTTAAAATACATAAATAGTATTTATATCTTCAAAATACATAAATATATATTTCATGATTATAAAAATTTATCCCACGTTATTTTATCAAAATATTCCGCTTCACAAAATTGTTCCTATTTATCCCACTAAAATATCTTACTAGCGAAAAATTATTTCACTTTAACAATTATCCCGTTTTGTATGAAAATATCGCGATTGACTAACAAGAAAGAATTGAGCAGGTATAATATTATCATACCGAGTTAGCGTATATAATAAGCTATTGCCTAAGATGTTGGCACAATATGCAGTTTGATGGATTAATAAAATATCGCAGTTTATCAAAAAGAAAAAGAGAAAAAAACACTAATGTCTTTATTATCACTATTAACATTTGTAACTTTAAGACTCTAAAACTTTCGTATAAATAGACAAAATTTGTACTAAAATGCAACTCTGGGCATTTTTAAAAACAGATGTAATTACATGCTTGTCCTGACCTGCTTGCATTTTATTGTTTCTTGATTCATATTGGTCATTATACCGAATGTTTCGACCTCTTAAATATTTTTCCGGCTGTGTATTTCTTATGGGTTGGAAACATAATATACAACGTAGCGGAATTTACATATCATATAAATCAATCAAAATTAATTAAAGTTTAAAACAATACCTAAAACTTTTTCCGAATTTCTTTAACAATCTTTCCCAAAATCAATCCGAAATAATTTCCTCAAGAGAAAAAGCCTCCAACTGAAATTTACCTGTCATCGAAGAGGAACAATACTGAGAGACAAATTCTCAATTTTTTTCCTCTATTTCTTATTCTTTTCATAAAGCTACCTATGAACCCTATATATAGGATTGGACTTGCTTTATCGATTTTAATTTCAAAATAATTCTTAATTATTTAAAACTCTTTCCATAACAATTAAAGATAAAATATTCTTTTCATAATAACTAAAAATAGAATATTCTTTCCATAACAATTAATAACAGAAATATAATTGGCTTGCATGTAAACCTCTTCTAATGACATTAGTGAGACCAATTAGACCCTATATCGAGAACTAATTATTAATTAAATTAATAATTTTAAATTACCAATCAAATCTCTATCTCACCAAGTGTTCATAAAAGCTCTTTCACAATATGGGGTTAAAAATTCATGAATAATATTATCTTATGTTCAATCCCCTATGGTTTCGATTTATTTTAGACAACTTTATTGAGCAGGACAAATCACCAATTTGCTCATGGCTAAAATTGTAATCCATATAAACATAAAAAATAAATATTATTTTAAAATATTAAAATATTTTATTTTTATAAGAAATAAAATTTTAAAAAATAATTTTCAAAACCACCCGTCAACGGGAATTTAATTTCTTCATGAGATATGCATAATAAATTAAATCATCAAATAGAGTATACTAAATCCTATCTAGATATCCATCATTTTCCTAAATAAAATCTAAATCCAACATTTTAGGTTGTATAGCACTTGTAAAACAAGCTTAACCATCATATCAAAGTATACTAAATTATCAAATCGAAAATAACAATACCATCAAGTCTAAGAGACCATGTAACAGATCGAATTCTCTATCTCTTAAGTGACTCGTACTAGAGAGTCGAAATGTGGTCTAGTGTTGTACATATCACAATATGCGGTCATGACATACACCTAGGGAATCTTCATTCCCGATAGCTGAGACCTACCACCACATCTCACATATCAGCGGCATGCATAATAACCTGTTATAGCAAAGCTATCCTATACTAGTTATTGGTTAAACACAAATTTAAAAATCTTTGAATTAGATAATATCTCTAAGCAAGTGGCCATCACAGTGCATGATCTAACTAAATAATTTTGAAGGATAATATAACAATTTTATAAAAGATACCCAAAAAATATGCGCAATAATAAAACTTAATTAATATTCAAAAAATATTACGTATTGGATGTGCAATGACATATAACACTACTCTAGCATTATGATCATACAAAATAATTTTCATATGCTTAGTTTTTGAGCATTTATGTTATAACACTAATCATCAGCCTATAACAATTCTTATAAGTATGACAGGCTTGATGATAATATGCATTTTGAGACATCTACATGAGAAAATTCTTGTAGTGGAGTTTCTCCTACTTTAAACTAAACAAGTGCTTATACATATTTGTGATCACATGATTTTGTGATCACATGAGGGCTAATTCTAAACGAAGAACATTATAAATGTCCATTATTCTCACTTTAAACCTCATGCAAAACCAAAACCATTGACTTAGTGACTATAATTATTAATTACATACCAAAAATCATATATTCTACCATCATTACGTTTGCCGACCCATTGAAATGATTAACATTCACATAATATTACGAGATTCAACGCCCAAAAACCAAATTAATCTGGTATTTAAAAACACCACCGTGATGATGGGGACCTGCAATTGGCAAAGGTCAATAGAAATGAGCTCGGACTTCATCATGCATGCCACGTGGCCCGACCTAGTTGCTCGCTCTGTAAACACATGTGGGCCCCATTGCCTCCATGCGTTACGTTGACGCCCACTCCGTCATGAAACCCAATAACGGCTAATAAACCGGTAAGTGATATATGCACTCCTGTCCGGTGATGAACCCACCTCTTAATAAGAACAAAACACACAATTGGTTTATCTTTTAATAAAATTCCTCCGTTATTGTACTTTAATATTACTTTTCACAATTTGTTACAAATCAGATAAAATGAAGACGACCATGTTAGCTAGTTGATAGCCAGCTTTGTTTGTTGTTGTTTGCTGGCTCAAAAAGTGAGTAGAATTATATTTTTACTGTAACGTCAGTTTTATTTTAGTGATGGTCCACTTTCCATATTTAGAAATGGATGTTCATACTAACATTTTCAAAAATATTATGTTTAAACTGAATAATATAGCTCTTTAATAATTTTACAATTAGAAAATTCATGGAAGCCTAACGTATTAGCTTTAAACTCATTTTTTAATTACAATGAGATAACAACATTAATTTGAGAAGCATTTTCGCACCTATTTTGTGTATTGAGAAACAGTCTTCATTTTTTCACTAAGTAGCAATCTACGAGTGATGAACAAATATTGTATTGTACATACAATAAGCTCATATATCACTAAAAATAACCTATATGTAACTTAAAAAAGTCAAGAAAATATTGAATAAATATGTGCCTAAATATGGTATGCTTGAGTGAGATATGCCACACTTTTTCTTTAAGAGATGTATA